GAGTCAAAACAAATTAGAGACAGCTTGAACATCTCACGATAATTTTTCCACCAACAGACATATTATAAATTTCCTTTTTCTAATTTTGTAAGAAACTGTTAGCTTCATTTTTTAAAGTTACATTTGCAACTATACTTCTAAAAAGTTCAGTAACTAATTTTATTAATGAATTTATGTGGCTAACAGCTATATAATATTACAATTCTCAAATTGATCATTAATATACATACATATATTTAAATCATATTAAATCTTTAATTCACCTGCTATAAACTAGGCTTAACAGCATAGGTCAACAAAATTGGATTTACAAAACTACAAAATATCTAGCACAAAAAAAGTGAAATGGAGTGAAAGATTTTTTTCTCCATTCTATATAAAGAAAAGACTTAAAATTGACATTAAACTAATTAAAAAAAAATATTTTCATTGGTTTTTATATTCCAAAGTGGCAACACAATTATGTTTAGCAAGTATGGAAATAGAATAGTTTTAAAATTGTAAAACACACAAAAAGAAGGGACCAAAACATCGTGGAGATTTCAATTATATTCATTAAATTATTGCTGTCAAGAAAAAATCAAAAAATGCCGAACAGCGAATAAGTATAGAATTTGTGGTTTTTGTCCAAAAATAACAGTTTAGGTGGGGTAGATATAATTATAGAAGTCTGCATCTGAAGATAAAAATAATATGTGACGTCTGCACTACATTTTTGCAATTAATAACTCTTTTAAACGGATAACTAATTAATATTATTTTAGTACCAAGGAAAAAAAAAATTCTCGGACTTCGTTACACTTTTAGCAGCTGATAACAGTTAATCGATTAAATCTGGTGTCAAGTGTCATATGAAAACAAAGGTGATATCACGTATTGTTACTTCCGACGTGAAATCAGATTCGTCACATTAAATTGTCGTAAACGTCAATCCAAAGGTTTGATAATCAAAAGGTTGTACGACACTTCACGTTTTGCGCGAATTAAAAAGATCGTCTTTGCTTTTTTTTAAACCTCTCATAGCACTAAAAACAGGGTATCAATATTGTTTCACAGGTGACAGATTAAAAGATCAATCCATAATTTATATGTAGATATATGTAATAAAATAAAATTGAAAAGACCTAACTTAAAAATACAAATTGAATCTTTTTTTGACAAAAACATGACTACCTACACATAATTTAAATTTGTTCATTCATTTAATTTATTACACTACACTTTGAGTAAATTTCACCAAAATTTGAGGTAAACACGTGGTATATTTTGTCCAAATTCTATAAGCCTTCCGGTTCTGATTTGGAAAAACATAATTTTAAAAGACTCTATAATAAAAATTACGCTAGAAAACGTATTACTGATTTGATTTTTAACTGCAAATTTTTTCGAAGCTCATTCAGGAATTCTCAGTGTTTAGAACAAGTGCAAGACGACTTTTTCAAGAATCTTTCAACAAGAGTTTTTGCTCTAACTTTTTCTAGTTCCATATTAACTTAAAAACATAACAATGCTTTCAATATTTGCTTTAGCGAGATCACCATACACAGTACAAAGAATACATATATATTAATGTGGACAATACACGCCAAAATTAAAAAGTGTGCGTAAATTTGGCAGCTAATGGGTTTGCAAAAATGAAAAAAGTAAGCATCAATATTCTTTTCATTTTTCTTTCAAAATAATATAAATTAATAAATAAACTACATATCACAAAAATGTCAAATTCTTCTTTGGATTTTTTTAACCGTTTTGTAACTAAACATCCTGAAAATTACGAAATATTATTAACAAATAAAATACGATAATTTCACGTTATCTTCCAATTTTATATGCTAGTAAACCTTTGTCATCCAGAGTTTTCCCCGACATAATTTTCTTTTTTATTTTTGTAAAATTTCAAATATATTTTAACAACGTGTCAAATATACAGGGTGAGTAACTGAATGCGTGGTTCTCGATATCTCATTAATTACACAGGCCTGCGAAATTGTCTCGCATCTATCTAGTCATGGTAATAGATTTTTTGGTGCTGAAAAAGGGATATTATAAAATAATATTATAAATATTATATATTTAAAAAAATCCATCACGTAAAGTTTTTTTTTACCTGTAGGTGCTAGCCACTGACCCTTTACAACAGTAAATAATCGTTTTTTCAACTGTTGTTTAAATCAACAACCACATTTTTTGTAGATCTGATTATGCAGAAAGTTGATACAATCTCTTCTAACCAGACGATTTAGTTCAGTATAACTTCTTTAAAACTGATGTGCTGTGAGTTTGTGTACTTGATTTTGTGAATTCATTTATTTAATTCACTTTTGTTACATTCAGTATTTTATTATGTTTTCATTCGATTTAAGTATATTTGAAAGTAATTCAGTTTCTCAATCACCTGTAAATAATGTACATACTCCTTCCGTCCGAAAATATGGTATACATTTGTAACTTTATTTAATAACACTATTATAACGACAATACATTTCAATTTATATGCAATCGGGCTTTATCTGGAGCTTCTGGAGAACATACCAATGTCGCTAATAACCTTCACTCACGACGAAGTTTGTATTTATTAAGATGAAGAATTTTTTAGTCAAGAATAAATAGATAAATAATATTATTAATTATAATAATTAATTTATTTAATTTAATTATTCTGGCTAAAATCTCTCATTTTTTAAATTCAGCAGGTGCCGATTTATTTTGCTGTTATTGCAGTAATTAAATTTTCATTTTTTGACAGAAATGAACGTAGATCTCAGTCCACTATTTATATGATGTTCCATTATTATACAAGTTGCAAACAAAATTACTTGATTACAATTTTCTAATCATCACTCGTTAATTATAATACATAATTTTGTAAAATGCACACCATATTTTCGGACAGGAGTATTAAAAAAAAAATGTTGAAGTCTTTGTGAAAAATCTTTACGTGAGGAGAAAAATGGGGTTCATATTTGGACACCAGTGGCATAACTAAACCTATGTCCCCGCAAACTTAAATGTTGCGCCCTCCTATATTTAATCATAATAATAATTATCATAATAACAGCTACAAAACAATATTTAGAACGTTTTTGCATACAAAATATATCCAATTTCATTTTTTTAACACAAATGCATGCTTTTTATTTGCCGCCGCTTATTCTGGTCAACCAGTTCGTGCTTAATAGTCGAATTCTTTCTGCTGATAATATATTTTTCCCATTGCTTATGTGTGAAACATATATCAAATTTCTTTGTGTTTAACACAAATGCATGTTTTTTATCTGCCGCAGCTTATTCTGGTCAACCAGTTCGTGCTTAATAGTCGAATTCTTTCTGCTGATAATATATTTTTCCCAATGCTTATGTGTGAAAGATATGTAATATCGTCAATACTTGTGCGAAACCTCCCCCCTCCAGTATCAAAATATAAATAAGAATCAGCATAAGCTATCAAAACGAAAACAATTTTTCAAAAGTTAAAAAATACAGATCTGTGTTATTAGAGATTATTAGCATTTACTAAAATTACTTTCGACTATACAGAGTGTTTTGTTTTTGGGACATAGCACACAACATTACCCCATACATTTTTTTACAAATTTTTATTGATCTCCTCTTACACTTTATAACTTAGTTTATTTTTGAAATTCCTATACGACGTAGCCACGTTATTCCATTTTTTTTATTTTTTAGCAATGAACGGGTTCACAAAATATCGCAAAAACGTTATTTTTAAGATCTGTGTTGCAACATTTTATTGAAAGTATCAATTAAATAAAATTCAAATAAGTATTTTATTACTACGTCTTACTCTATTATTTGTTCTCTTTCTCTACTATGTCGGTGCGTCAATTAAAAAAAGTAAAAAAGCTCAATAAATATCAGCTTTAAGTAAGAAAAATACTCGACAAAAAAAAAGAAGAGAACGAAAACCGGGATACGATTCAGTAATAAAATGCAGGTGATATGTAAGTACATATTTGAATATTGTTATAATTTATTTTATAAACACTATGTATATTAAAAAATGTCATAACTTTTTTGGCGGCTATAGAAAAAAAGTGTATTTTTCCATAACAGAAAGAACTTGTAGGTTAAATCAATATGGGTGACAAAAACTTGTTCAAATTGAAAAAAAGCGTATACAAGAAATGAAATTGTTTATGCCAAATTAAACACACAAAAAGACAAGATGCAAAGAAACATTAAGTATTCCAGCAGATGGTATAAGTTGCTTATTCCAGTAACGTTAAAAAAAAGTGCTAATAATATACATAACAAATATTTATGATGATGGTATAATGCGGTATTAAAAAGAATTACATTCCATTAATGACAGACCGCGAGTCGATGATTAAGTTGTCACTTTCTCGCAGTTGGCACAACACGACGGTTCGTAAAAAATCCGTTGAAAGAATCGTAAACATTTCTTTCAATTCAGTACATTTCCATCCAAACAAAATCTTTTAGAAATCCGCAAATACTACTGTGCAATCAAAATGCCATCAAGAAATGCTAAATTAGCCTTCACAGTGACGACAGGTTTGTCGTTTTAATTTCGGAAAACGGAAAATCAACGTCACCGACGACAAACTTAGGGGAAAACGTACTGCATAAATACGACGTTGAGCTTTATACGACTTGTCATCCTGATAAATAAACGTTTCATCCTTGCGAACAAATCCTTTTTCAAGGAGCGACACGCTACATCCTTCCGACGGACATTTCCAGACGTTCCGAATCGGATTATGAAAAATTCTCCGCAATAACAAGCAGTCCGTTTTGATAAAAAGTATCGGCGACGTGTACACAACAAAAAAATTCATAAATATTTCAACATGGACTCCCTGTGCCCGCCATAAATCAATAGATTTATTTATGTGCCCGGAGGAGTTTTCCTCGACGTCGTCAATGGCGAGACACTCTTTCTCTCTTTAGGATCGCCGGATGATTTTTCTTTGCTAAACAAACGGAACATCACATTGGAGATGTGGAAAAAGACTCACCTTATCGTCTTCGCCTTCGCTATCACACTGCAAAAACACAAAAAGAAATCCATTAGTATAACAACCGAGAAAAGAGAGAATAGCGAAAAAATTTCTCTCGTAAGATGCGCCAGAAACCGAATAAAAAGTCAATCGCTTTTTGCGGACAGGGTTCGTTTCTGTTCGAGGGAGAAAAGAAATACTGAAGTACTTAAAGAGACAAATAAAATATACTCACGATATATCCTTTTCCTGAACTGCATCGACTGCTGGCCTGTGTTGTCCACAATTGGATATAAAAATAGAAATGTTAGGAAGTGTTTTGCATTTGCATTGGTCATACTCACGTCACTGAGGCGGTCCCTTGAACTGTCCGCATCACGTGGCGCTACTGACGACCCTGTTAGACGTTCAGATGCCCGTCCACTGTCGTCGCTGGTGGCCGGGTCTTGGGTCAGCGATAACCCCTGAAAAAAAAACTCCAGTTTAATAAAACGAAAAAAAAACATGGCACACCGTAGTTGCATTGATACCAAAAGTGGAAATGGTTTGACTAGAATATATGGCTCTTACTTTACATGCAATAACTCATGTCAACACCACGACTTTACTGAATTTGACATGTGGTATATAAATTTTAAAGATACTGAGCAATCCGTTGCAGCATAACTTTTTTTTCTTAACTATTAAGACTTCTATATTGTTGGACCGTTGGACGGAATCAATTTAAATAATGCCGTAGATTTTCTATGATAACGACAAGTGTAAAACCGATATTTACTGACAGCGAACTGAGAAATTGGAATCTAGGAATTACTCGAATACACTACTTTCTATTTCAAATAATTATTCCACAGCTATCCACAGTTATATTTTTTTAACACCGACAGTAACAAAAATATTATAAAATTTGAAATATATAATGTGAATGTAGCGAAACTTTAGTAAAAGCGTTCTAACTGAACTTCATTTTTTTATATTCGTTCATTAATATTTACAAAAAATTTATTAAGAAAGTTTCAGACCATTAAATTTATAGACTAACAAATTGCCGATTCAATTAGAAATTACAGTATTTGTTCAAAATAACTACACTCTAAATGGTGACTGGTAAATTACCAGACGGATAAAATTGCTCTATTATAAGGGGCTCGGTTTTCTATCGAAAGATCATAGCCATAAAAAGCAGCTTTACAAAATGTATATGCTTATTTTTACAATTTATTACTATTCACTAAAGTGCGTTGTTACTTCTAATTGTTACTAGATTTGTATATGTCTAAAGATTTAACTTTCATACCAACTTATTTATGTACAAACTGTAGCGCAGTTTTTAAAAAATTCATCAATTTTATTAAATAGATACCACTACCTTGTTCCTATATTGATACCCGATATTGCTTCAATATTAAGATATTCATTCATGTGGCAGAAATTTGGGTTCGTTTAAAAACGGCAACGGTATTTACACACAACTCTCGAATAATAGAATAAACAAACCACAAAAAAAAGTAATCGATGTTCTCAGAATTTTAAATCAATGTATTACCAAAATTTGAAAACAATTCCGTACGTAGGTTGTGTTAAAAAATTGTAAAATTTCATTTTACCACTTTTTTTATAATGCGCGTGGGTAAAAGCATCGACACATTATTAAACCATATATAAAAAAAAGTATGTTACGATATAAATAGTAAACGAGATTTATTTGGTAAAATTTTAAGCCGACGTTATCAAATGATTGCCTAATAAAATCGTCAACAGACACGATAGATAGACAAGCTGTGAAACGTCGGGAAACATGAAATTAAACTTTCGTCAATATTATCCCATCACAAATCTTCCCCAGCTTACAGGCCGTAAATAAAAAAATATATATATTTTTTCTTGGTTTTATTTAAAAAAAAAAAAAAATTCACGGATCACTCAAGGTAATGCTCCATCGCCAACGACCAACCAGAACTCCTTTAACAATCTCTATGTAAACAGTATATAAAAATAAACTTAATTTTTTTTTATAACTCTAACAACATATTTATTTTTGTCGCAAAAAAAAGTAGGTAAGTGTCATCGACTTCGGTCACTGGGAATATTTCTCAGTTCTGTGTTTCTCACCCTGCACAAAAACTACAAATGTGTGTTAAATGCATAACACTGAAAAACAAATATGTAGCAATAATTACACAACATTATTCGTGTCACTGCGTTTAAACTATTTAATTAATAACATGAATAAAATTACAGCTAATCAAAAATACTTATTATATAAAAGTACAAGTAGTGAGATAATTAAGGCTAATTACTCAATTACTGTTCTGAACAAACATGATATATAAACATACACAAACTGGAGAGATGCATAATACAAAGAGCAAATTACAGAGGTCTGGGGCACGCCCTCTTATTATTTTAATTTCCCTAATAACACTAATGGTATCTGTATTATTTAATGTTGACATGACACGAGAAAATAATATGTCATGAACATGGTATAGACAAGTCAATTAATACCGTCATTAAACGACGATTTCCTTTTTTGTGAAACCATTAAAACGAGGATGTTGATGATAAAACAGCAACGGATATCAACTCGCACCGCAGATGTGTCCATATAAAAGAAAATTAATAGGTAAATGACAACACTAAAATGCTAATGGAAAAAACACATTTTCATAATGTCAAAAATTACATTATAATTTAACACACGCGAAAAATTTTATTATCACATCTCCATGATTACTTTCTATGCCGCCCAATTCTGCTTTTTATTCAAAATGGTTTAATAACTACTACCAATTTGTCATGGGCACTGAAAATGTTAATTAATAACTTTTTTATCGATTCTTGTATCTTGTTAAAAAGTCCAAGATCTGTAGGAATTTCAACACCGCAAAACAATTTTCTTACTATGGTCAACTACTACAAGCTTCCATAATAGAACGTGTTTTGAAAGTGGTATGGCCGTTTCCATACTCTTACAATTAAAATAAATTGACAGTTGGGTGCTGTACAAACTGCTGTTTTACAGTTATTCCCATAACAACTGACTGTTCCTGAAACTTTATTATGAGCGATGCAAACGACCATTAGCGTACATTACTTCTGAGACTATGAAATTCGCATTAATTGATCAAGATTTCTTTTTTGTTCGGAATTAATGTGTCCATAATGCGACATCGATTTTGATATTAACAAATGAAAAGGTTCCGACTGAAAATACAATAGAAAAGTACGAAAAGCACACGTTTAATATATTTTGATTCATTGCTTGAACGCTCTTGGAAACATACAGTAATACACTTTTTTAAACATTTTTGTCAAGAAATAAAAATTCTACTTTTTCAGAGGTGTTACACAGACGTTGATTATAATACAGCTCAGTTAACGTCTGATAAAAATCATTTCATTCTTGGTTTTTGGGGGCTATGTATTAATGATATTACAACGTATCCTTTCACATGCACATAAAGAAGACATTTATGAAACTGATATTAAACAATGTTGCAAAAATTACGATTTTTCTTTTTAACTTGCCCATTTCAAATAGGTGAGATAAATTAGCAACGAAGTTCTACAGTTGTAGATAAAATTTTGTATGTTATACGTGACGTAAAGCATTCTTGCCACATTTGTGGAACTGATTACTTTAAAACCTTGTATATAATTTAATTTTAATTTACTGTGTACACGGTAAAACACTAACCAAAATGTATGTATCTTTCCCTTTCAAATAACTGATGACGTTACTCAAACTTTTGTCTCACCCCAATTTTTTTTGGATGCCATACCATGATATGCTATATGCTTCCTTTCTCTAGTTTAATGATGACCCACCCACAATTAACCTTACATATATGTATAGGTTATCATAAAAAATAAATATGTGGGATGAAACCAAAGTATTTACCTGAAATTTTGGCAAGACACTTAGATTATGGAAGACTGACTAAAATTTGTTTTACCACTCCCACCAGCAAGTTGATAACTTCATCTGATTGTTATAGAGAATGACGTCAATGTAAATGTACGGCCGATTACTTAATTTTCTTAGATATGGCACTTTTTTCCTATTATTTGAGAAGTGGCCCATTTAATTTCCCTAAAATTCTTAAAACAATGTTACATTATTATGACAAGGTTAAAGTATACACATTAAAATTAATGTGTTTATCCCTAACAAAATCACATAAATTGTTACTGAAAAATATGATCTCACATGTATGCGGAATTGTTTACGTTTCACAGGAGAGAAAACTTCTGCCCAAATAACTTTAAACCAATTTGTTTAATATCCACATTATGAGAAAGGAAAGATTCTTGACACGCGGTGCGTAAAAACTACAAGCTCTTGGAAATAAATTGGTGCTATTTTATAGGACGTGATGTTCTACCGTGCAACCAACAAAAATTGTCCTTTAGTTGGCACTGGATTTTTCTCGTTCGCCATAAGTCATAAGAAAAGCTTGATCGTCCAGCGCCAACTTTAGGACACCTTGTGTTGATGACATCTTATTAAGTTCTAAAATTCGTTGTAAAGCAAAACAATTGAGTGCCTCACTTCGCTAGGAATAACTCATTAAACATTTATTCACTAAATTTACATTTATTATCTAATTATAAGTATGGATTTATTCAAATAAAAGGTTCAAGGATTGCAATAAAGGTTTCTAATTAACGAGTGAATAACGAATCTACAATTCCTATTGTTAGAACACACGGGTCCAATATGAATAATTATAAGTAATAAGTATCTAGTGTATTTGTAGAGTGGGGAATTTTGATCTCTTATTGAGTTTAGGCAAAGATCTTTTTCATAATTTCAATGAAATCGGCTTTTTTACTTTTTTATAATCAAACTGTAGTTACTGTATACAAAAAGACTTCGTTGATGATTTTCAATTGAATCATTTCATCGGAATGATAATCTGTAATGAATATGTAGTATTTTAATACAGCTGTACTTCAAAACTTGTATACATATACATATGTATAGGGTGTTGCATTCAAAAATTTGTCGTTTTATAATGTACAGTTTTTTGGCGACAGAAGTTGGGTGTTGCCATTCTCTTGGCCAGACCGAAAATACGGTTCGATAAAAAATTTAAATTCTTCTAGAACCCACATTTTTCAGTATTACCTGTGATTTAAAGAAATAAAGGTTAAAATGTGATTCAAAGGTTCACAACTAATTAATTAATTTAGCAAAAATCAAATGAAGCGACACATTAATAAATTAATTTCATTGCTCACTAGACGTAAATCATTTATTAATATCCTGTATATTTTCAGTATTTTACTTTAATACGGTTTTTCGAGTTAACTTGTCAAAATAATATAAGTTTATGATATTACGAACATAGAAATAATCCCGGCTTAGGGTAGCAAGTTTTAATGTAAAGATAAAAAGACAAAAATAAAAATTTCTAGGCGTGAAACCGTCATTCTGTACGAACAATACTGTAAGTAGGTACTTTCTTGACAGGACAACACTTTATACCTTATATACGAGCAAGTTTGGGCAACATGTGCAAATATTCTCTCAAATTATAAATTCAAGAACAGGTTTATAGTAAAGACAGCTTTTTATGAAAATGACATTTTATACATTTAGAGCAATCACATTTGCATATTTTTGGTGTTAATTTCCAGATATCAACACCAGTGTGTGTTAAACTAATTAATACATGTTTTGAAATGCTCTACAGGGTGATTCACCAATAAAAATTAATCTAACCATTCATTCCGACAATTCAACCAAAAATGCATTTTAAAGGTTTCGTAGATTTATTTTTCAATTTATCAAAAACATTAACCGCACTGTCATAAGGCCGTCAGATTGGTCTCCCTGTCTTCTTCGAATTGCGTAATTCTTAGCTTAGCACTCGTTTCAAAGTCAAATGTGCCAAAATTATGAAATGTCAAAATGACATATGAATAAAAGAAGGTTGGTACCTATAATAACAAATTATTGTTTTTAATGGAATATTATTAGAATTACAATTTTTTTTTTGTAAGCCAATTGGGAATGATCTTTCCAAATATGCAATATACAGATTAGCAGCTAGGATATTCATAGCATTTTTCCCATTCCACGTAAACAATCCTTCATATTCTTTAATGAAGGTGGGTGAAAAACATTAATCAAGCACATGAGCGTAGACAACCACTTTTATACTCGTTATTGAATAAATGTTTGTTCATTATTATCTTCATAATGTAGAAATACTCACTGAACAAAAACAGTTGACATAACATGTAATTTTATATTGACAGGCTATGCTCTGGCCGATTTACTGGTATATTCCGTGCGAAAAACATATTTCTCTAACCCTAAATATTGATTAAATACATAGAGATAAACCCATCCTATAGCTTGGACCCCAGTCCCGTGCATACACTACCCCCATAACAGCAACAAAACTATTCTTACATCTACCACTCGTAGCGGGCTCCGGAAAAAATTTGTAACAATCTCATTAGGTTAATTTATAAATTATAACGTTGTCAGATGAGCCTAACACAACTTTGCCGATATTGCCGAAGTTTCTGATAAATAAATGGGATTATTATAATGAATAAATAATATAAACAAATTATTACTGTTTTAAATACTTGTTAATAACATGCACGTAAAATTTATGACTACCAGCGAAAAATGAAGATTTTAGTTTCATTGATCAGGTTCTTCCGCGATCAAAGAGCTCGAGTTTATCCAGTCATTAAATCCATGACTACAATTGTCAAAAGTGTAATAACAGAAACATTTTGTGAGATCAATCTCATGTACAGGCCCAAAAATTAGTATCCAATGAATAACAATAAAGATATGCATTTACCTAGACGAAACATGGATTTATCAAAAATGGAACACAAGTTAGAATGTGGATCCATGAAAATGATCTAAAAGCGGATCCAAAACGAGTGAAAGTTAAATATGGATTTCTTTCGGGTTGTATTTTCCTTCTGGATTCAAAAACGAACATCGTGACTACCACCATGAATGGGGAATATACACATTTAAAAATTGGATAGAAGAACAAATAATTGCCGCATTAAAAAATATATAAAAAAAAGACGTGTCATAAAAATGGATAATGCGCCTTACCATTCGGTTAAATTAGACAAACCGCCAAATTCTTCTCCAAAAAAAACTTTTACATGTATTGAAAACTGAATGGTTAACAGAGCGAAAACAAATACGTAGAGACGATTTAAAACAATACCACGGACAATGCGAAATTACACAAATATGGCAAAAAAACTTATTTATATTATAATTTTAATTCATGGCGAATCGAGAAAAAATGCTTTCTTGGCTCCTGGGCTTCATGTAGATTGTAGACCGTTTTCTGGAGAGAAGACCAACATTCAAAAGACTGGTAACTTGTTTGATGAGAAGTGGCCATTTCTTAAAAAAAAACTGAGAAAGAACAAGTACAAGGGCGGTAAATAAAATAACAATTTTGAAATTAGTGGACAAGTAGGATTAGTCAATCTTCTGTGCATCGAATACTGAAAAGAAACAAATTTTATCCCTACCATCTAACATTAACCTACGAATTGAAACCCACAGATCGTCTAAATTCTGAAAGATTAACCTTTTACAACTTTTGTAAAGAACGCCAGAATTTTAATCACATTTTTTACAATTTGGTCTTTACTCCTAAATAGCAAAATTTTCAAATAATTGTGCAGTTAACACGCAGAACTGTCATTATTGCAATCATTTATTTTAGGACATTTTCAAATAGCCTACTCCACAAATTATTAGTGCCTAGTTTTTCAAAAAACATTTAAACGGAAATTCATGTTCAAATTGTATTCAACCTAATTTACCGTAAGTGTGCGAAAACGTTAATTTAGAAATATGTCAAAGTGTATAACACTAACAGCATTATCATGGAAGGGTGCGGGGTTACTCCGATGTGGTCTCCCCATCAGGTGGATAGAGGTCCAAATATTGCTCCTTTCGATTTGTTTGCTATGGGGAATAGTCAATGAAATAGTTACCAAATTCCAATTAACAGCGTGGAACTCTATCACTAAATCTCTTAATGAAATATTTATGAAATAAATAAATACATCTACTTACGAATTCTTTGCAAATGTATTCTGGGTTGCGTTTCCAATTCTGTCGGACTCATTATTACTCGTGAATCACACTGTAATTATCATTTCAAGACTGTAGTGAAACACCATTCACTATTTGAATCTATTCTTATTTATTAGATTATACAAATGTGGGAGCAAATCATATGCTGACATTAAGTGGAGGTAATTTATCAATGTTCATCGCTAAAACAAACATCATTTCGTCGAATAGGTCTACGGTGCATGTACATTTTTTGTATCTACAAAAACTAAATATACTATAATAATAGTATACCTGTCATAGAAGGCTATAATTAACTCTTCAAACAATACTAATTTAGAAACCGAGTAGTATAATAACACCATTTTTGTTAAAAATTAATCGCTCTTTGCACGACACACTATTAACAAAAATTATAGACGTACTAACCCAAAGAGCGCTAGTGACGTCCGCGTACACGAAGTTACAACTTTACCCTGACAGAAAAAAAATGTTTTTATAAGCTGCCTACAATAAAATGACAATTTCCACACAGTAACGGTGTTACTATTCAGCAGCGAGGCAAAAAGATGACATCGTAGCAAATGGCAAGGCAAATTGGCACCTTGGCGGGCGCTTCCATAAAAACTCAATGCTGACAGCTCCGTGGCGCACGTTCCCAACCTGCAATTTCTCCACCAGTCGAAAAAAGTCCTCGGGACAAGATCGACCCACAAATAAACAGAACTGCATTCTAAGTCGGAAATACGAGAGCATACTGTAGACGCTGTCGCCGTCATTTGTTTGGTTAAAAAACAACCGAATCCAAACTTGTCCCGGCAATTTGAGACTATTATTTCGTCGTTAACAACGAAAAGACTCAAATTACTTACGCAATCTTGGCTGTAATAACAGTTGGAGGATTATTACGGCTATCAAATGGCGCGCTAATGAAGACTTTTCTATTTAAAGGGCAAAAAGTCGCAGAAGAATGAAAAGGAAAAAAATCAGTAGCTTGAACTAATTAACCAATTAAAATGATTGGCGTCGTTTGAAAAACACTACAAAAACTCCTAATATTGATAATAGAAAGCTTGCGGCAAAAAAAGGACCGAATAAAACCGGTCCCTCTTGTCTGTTTTGTTCCTGTTAATTAAGTTAATGCCTCCGTTTTATTATTAATTCATTTCCTACAACGAGAAAAGTGAATTAAGGAGTTGTTCCTTTCTCTTTCTCGCTTTTCCTTTCGATGATTAAAACTGTATTATTCGTAATACGTGACTCTCGTCATTAATTGGCTCTGACAGCGACAGCCTCGGGCCTTCGCGATATTTTATTCACACTCCTTTTTACTATTTCAGCGACAGGAACCTCCTAGCAACATTTTTATTGGCTCCACGATTTTATTCATGATGTACAGTATTCTCTTCCTACTCTCTCTTCTGCCGTTTTGCAGAAAGAACATCGTCGTCGAGAGGAGATTTGTTACGGATTGCGCTACACTGACATCTGTCGGAAACTTAGAGCGACGCTGAGTAAGTGAACAAGAGTGGATTCTACTTGTCCGTGGATTTTCTTTAGTCGTTTGCTTTTGAGGAGCGTGCGGAAAGTTGAAGGGATTATCGACGAGAAGCGGAACAGGAAATACTTACGTGGTTGTTGTGTGCCGAGATGTGATGTGTTATGTGCGTTTTGGTCTCGAGTCTTGGCCTTTCGATGTCCGCCAAACGTTTTATGTTTTCCTTGCTGCTTATCTTCAGTACAAACTGTAAAAAAACGAAAATGTTATTTCTTAGACAAATGGAACTTAAAAATAATTTTATGATGAATAGTTATTACATTAAGCTTAAATGCATTTGTATGTTAGCCATCCATAATAATAATAAACTGCGTGTCAAAAGTTAAGGTCAACTGTTGAAAGCATAAATAAAACACTGCATATCTGAGATAAATGTTTTATTGTTTAACAGAAAAAATCGACGTTTTATGTGATAGTGGCATTCAAAATTGTTGTTTCTCTACTACTAACAAAAATCAAGTTTGTATTTTCTTTTAATGTAAACCGCCTCTTTAATTTATGCCGACAAAAACATGATTATAAATAAAACTTTTTTCTACTAAAAATATAAAAACATGATTATATCGAGCACTGGCACGTTGTTCAAATTATAGACATTGATTATTATTCATTAATTTAAATACTACTTACTAACTTCATATTCACGTTATAGCAGAGCCGATCTGACGGATCTTATTTTTTTTATAAATAAGAGCGATTTTAGTGTAGCACGTCAAAAGAGATTTATTTAACAATAATTCAAATGACGCCACCAATTTTTTAGAGTGATAAATGTTGGTTAATGTTCTACCATCTAAAGGATATTTTTAAAGTATGTGTAGAAGTATTGATTTACAGACTCATAAATTTCCAACGCACAGATAAACGACAAACATGTAGACACGGAAAATCTTCATTCTTGCATTTTAAAGAAGCCAAGAAAATAAAATTAGATATACATGAAACAGACCGTATTACAATAGCGACTCACGCTCGAAAAGTAAGAAATCAAAGATAACGACGAACGCAAGTTAAAATGACCAAAACAGTTGATACTCCCATTACACTGAAGTTAAATTTCCATGTCTTGATAACAACTGAGTCATAATGGGCAATGTTAATGATGCAGAATATTATCTATTGTCAGAAGTTTACAATAATTAGAATAATTTACCAAATTTGTTACAGTCTTAGTACAGAAACGCATGATTTCATTACGATATGATAAGAATCACTAACAATTTAGGTGTATAGTCAGAGTTAGCGGATCAATGCCCACTTAAATTTACAAAACGTAATAAATATTATACTATTTGAACTTAATGCATAATTTACCCTATAGACGTGAGCTTCACTCGCTCAGCTAAACTCGATATGCACATATTTTCCTACATTTACACGTCTAATACAGTAACGTGTTGCCTTCGTTTTTAACACGTCGCTGCATTTCACTATTGGCAGATAATCGTTATAACCTATGTTTATTTGTATAACATTGCGATCTACATTGGTCGAACATCGAAAACAGTTTAAACAAATATCTGTCCCATCAACTCAAAAGTACAAGACAGTCCAGCGATTCGTGTGCTCTTGGCCGATGTATACTGGGCTATATCTCTATCGCTCTATCTTTTAATGAAATTTAGATTTAATTACGTTCAAACTGATAAAAAAGCAATACGTAAAAATATAACGATAATAAAAAAACAGATTGGATAATTACTATCCTACAAAAACTAATAAGAGAATTACAAAAGCTACCGCAAACACGTTTTTCAACGGTGAGTACACAAAATAATTTATTGCACAAGTTTTCAATTTAAACGAGTGTTCACTTTTCAACATTAAATGTTAATGTAGTAGTGCAAGTTTACCGATTTTACGACAGGATCTCATGTCGAGACCAATAACTACCCTAACAATGAGTGATTAGGATAATAGCATAAAGTTATTATGATAAAGACATTTATGAGCAAGTAAGTTTGTACAGGCCGGTATTAAGTCTCGAATTACCTAATACCTCTACCAAATTTGCTGGTATGTAAAAGCGTGTTTGCTTTAATAATTTCTCATTTGAATTGTTTATGTGTTAGTGGTGTAAAGTGTGCTATGATTTTATTGAAATATGTTCTGAACATCGGAATCTGCTCAAAACTTGGACCATTAAGGCTCCTTACAGCCAATAAAATATGACAAAGTAAGGGAAAGCGCCGTGTCCAATTTCGTCCTTACGATAGCACTTGAAGACTTTCCGTACTTGTTGGCAATACAAAAATCTTCACAGGAATAATGTTTCTATCGGATTAAAAGATTTCTTAAAAAATATATTTACAAGACAACACGATAACGTAAAAAAGCCAACAATGTAATAAGCATTCACGTTCGGTAGAAGTAACTGACAGAAACTTTTCTGTGGTTCAGTTGCAATCTTAAGATTACTAGAAATTTAAGATTGGCATCAACTGTCTAATTTTCTAATTCAAATGTCAAATCTGAATTGTGTGGAAAAAAAACGAAGTTTTTCTAATTTCAACACGCTTCGTTTCAAGAAAATCCTTAAATACAGCATGGAAACAATTTCCATAAAAGTAATCACGAGAAAGCTCATTTTAAAGGAAAAGAAACAAGAAATATTTCGTGGTTTTCAAAAAATTGGGTAAAACGGAAACAGTTAAACTGGTGGCAGAAATATTCTCCGTAAAGTTCGCTAGTGTTGTCGAGTGTTTTTCGAATTTTAAAATAATACAGATACAGCGGCGCTTGTGCCGTTAATATTATAATCAGAATCAGAAAGACGACTGCGCAGATTTATATACCCACATGCTTTGTTGGTTCCGTTCTACAATTGGTTTTTAAGTTTTATATAATCGTTATTATTTTGTAAGAGGTAAAACACTCGGCTTTGAAAATAATTGTACGTAATACACGTATAAATTTAGGTTTCCGAAGGCGAAGTTTTTCACATTTTAAACACGTTATAGCTGCCAGAATCAAATTTCTAAGGCGGTACCTATCTCCAATTGCGTGATTGTGGTGAAGAGTTACTTTTCATTTTCTTGGATGAGACATGGATATACCAGAACGGATCCATGGTGAAATTGTGGATCCATGATGAGGACATCAAAGCTTGTCCTCCTAAAAAAACTAGTGAAGGGAAAAGATTCAAAATTTTACATGCGGGTTGCTCTTTGGGCTTTTAGAGGGATGCGATTTTCTCCTTGGTTCAAAAATAGATTCACCAGATTACCACAAAACCATCACATTTTTGATATCTACTTTCTGACATTCCAGTAATACATTATACACTAGAACAATTATGTCCGCAGTTACACAGCTTAAAAAAAAAAGTTACCAAATCTAGTTACATCTACCGAACGTGAATTCCTTATAGAGAATATTTTTGCTTTCCTGGAAATAATCTTTATGTTTTTGTTAAACTATACATTTCTTAGTTATTGTTGATTAAATAAAACTTAAATAGCCATAAAGCCATAAAACATGGGAAATAAGTTCGGTGCTGTAGTGTTTAAAACAGCTGTTTATTACAATGTTCAGCTCAATATTAACTACTATACTATAATATAATATGGTGCTTACAGAATGCAATTTCTGCAATTTTCTACAGCAAAATAATAACAAATAATTTGGCCACAAAATAAATAAATGCTATTTAAAAGAGCATTAATTCAAGTAAAAACACATTAAATCAAACAGATACAACTTATTTAGGAGAGTTTTTCGTATCACTCATGCGCAGTTTTCATTGTTGCGTGAGGTTAGAGTTCGCCTTTCAAAAAATTTGCGCGCCTGCATAACTTCTGAAATGTGAATGGGAAATTATAGAAAATGGCCGAATTAAGTATTCAGAAAGTTATGACTAGAGAGTGGATTATATGCAATTTGCATATCCAGTATTTTTGATATCATGCACAACAACAAATAAATGCTTCAGTATATATCTGAATTATCATTTTTTAAATTGATTGACGTTGAATAATGTATTGCATGTTTTGTACATTTTGAAGATCCATTGCATATTTTGTCGGTGTGAGCATATGTACATATTCATGTTTGTGTATGTTTTACTTTGTGAGTTGAAAAAAAATCGAAACTAACTCTAGAACCCGAAGTTAGGTCTACTATTGTCATAGTCAGCAACACTTGAACATCTTTTTGGGTTTCTCTGGTATTTTTCTAAATAAATCCCTCTGAATCCAATTTGGTTATAAGGATGGTTTGTCTTGAACTCATAAAAGTTTAACTAGGTACATGTCGATTGAGCAGATAGTATTTCATATTGTACTACCAAGTAAAGATGGGAAGAATAATTTGACAAAATATTTCTAAATCATTCCTAACTAGACCCTGAAAAAGACCGATGATAGTACAATTTGTGAAAAATGCCCAACGTGAAAACAATTTTAGTAAAGTCATGGATAAAAGATTATTTCAATTGTCGAAAACAACGCTTCGTAAAAGGAAATGTCAAAATCTCCACGAAATAAAACTGTCGCAAATTTATTTGAAACAAAACCACTTGCCGAAACTCCAAAGAAAAATGAACACCACCTGCATAAAAGGGTAGTTATGCATTGTTTTTTATGCTTTATGTAAAAATATGTTATATTTAGGTAATAAATGTAATTATAGACATATTATATGTATATAGTGTTTTTCTTTCCGGGTCGCCGGAGGTAAATTACATATGTGCATAAGATTGTGCACATTTAGCAAAAATTGTATATATTTCAGGAAAATTTTGCGCACATATATGCGCATATTTTGAGAAATATGTGTGCATTTAAATCCGGTCTTTAGTGATAAGTTCACACATACAGCAAGAAAACGTGCAAAGGAAAGATCTAAATCTTGAAGTTCCGAAAGAACCTTCAGCAGCCGTAAAGATGCAAAAGATTTTGTCAAATCAGAAACCTATCAAATAAATTTTGGATTCATCACGTGTAGGACGTACTTCTCTTTCGATCGGAAGAAAGTCATTCTTGTGATTATATCCCAACATAAGGAAATAAGTGAGGAAGTAAACATGGAAATTAAACATTTATTCACCAAGAAAATGAAACTGGAAGCAATTTTGGATCTTGTTGCCCAAAAGTATGAAGTAGCACCAACCGTGGCCTTCCAGGAATCGACTATTACTCGTCCTCGAACTTGCCTAGTCGTCCAGTAGACCATCATTTTTCACACTGG